ACGCTGGGCTGTCCAAATCACGGACAAACAGTATCCCAGAGTTGTTTATGTTTTTAAACCCATTTTGCACCGAGAGGCATTTTTTGAACATTTTTCTTGTAAAATTGTGTACAACATACCAAACCAAAATAATATACAGGCTCAATGAAGCCCTCTTTTTCTGTGAAACACTTCTTTGTTTGTGTACGGTGTGCAGCCACACCAGATCTGCCTCATGTGCACATCTATGCAGAACATTTAAAAAGGAAATACATTGATGAACTTTCATGGTGCTATCACTTACTTTGTTTTTCTCTACCCTTTCCAGCTTTTGTTTGTTTGTTTATTTACTGTGTGTTATTTATGCTTTAAGGGCTGATTTATAGAACATTTCTATCCCAAAATTGTGGAAAAGTGATTAATTTCTTATGGTATCTTGTAATTGTTTGTTTACTTGCTTGCTTGCTTCTTTATTGGAAATGTATGCACATTTTTGTAGAGGTAAAAGGAATAGTTAAAATTAAAAGAAAAACAGAAAAACTGTAATATAAAAAAAACAAACAAACCAGATTTTTTTTGTGACAGGTGAACACACCTATCAGGACATACTTTTCTACATACATTTACAAATGTATGTATATATATATATCTCCATATCTAGGGTAATATAACGAAGATAATAAAACATGATAAATTAACATGTCTTTTGCCTCATACATGAACAAAGTTGGTATAATTAAGTTTATGTAAATGAGGCAAAATAAGTAGCCCCATATTTGGAGTATAAATCAGCCCATTCCAACTCATTTTTTCAAAAATGCTTAATTCCCACCCCTGACTCTTGGTTGTTGGGTGTTATGTAGATGACTTTGAACCCCCTCCCCCGCTACATCTGCTGTCAGGGTGCCGGTTGAGCAAACATGACACTCTTTTCATTAGTAACTTAGCAGATACTGTAAAAGAACAATCAGGCACTTTTACGACTTCAACCTTTTGGCTCACTATGAGGAACCCTGTAGTGACGTGGAACCAGTAGGATATCACTTCATCACACTAACACATGTAGTGTGAAGAAGTGAGGAATTTGAAGAATCATGGGATATAATGGGAGAACAAAATAGATTCGAGAGAGCTCATCTGCACACATACAGCTTTTTAAAACCTTATTTTGGGATCAAGTCAGCAAACTTAATCAGGTCTTATCAGGACTGACTGGTGATTATGTATATGCAGGTTTGATGAATCACTGGCCACTGAAATTTAACTACATTTAGGTAGGGAGTGATTTAATTTGGCTTCCAAATGAATGCCCAAATAACTGCCTGCAGGCATTTCAATGTGGACTTTCTAAAAGAATTTGATCCCAAATGTTTTCAGATAAGAATAACAATTATTTTCTATATTTTAAGTTGTCATACATAAATTAGGCAGTGTAAAATTCATGAATGTTTAATACAGAACAATGAAAGGACAGTGTTTACTTGCACGGAAATACAATTTAAAAAAAGAAACTCAAAAAAGGAATTTCAGATCAAAACAAGACATTAAAAATATGAAAGAATATTGCCACTGCCTTCCAAAATAATCTTTATGATGCTCTTCACCGTCTTCATCATCCTCTCGCCTTTTTCAATACTTTCTGTAAAGAAAGAATGGAAAAATTTTAGAGTGAGCTCAATTTGACACAACACTGAAATTTCTAACTTCTGTACAGTACGTTTAAAATATCTTTAATAATATGAAGAAGAAGTGCCAGCATACTGAGGGAATAAAATTATGTCTGTTTTATGTAGTTTCAATTACAATGATTAAAAGAAAGACTTCGTAATGTAACAAGATGATAGCTGTTATTATTTTACAGTAGCAGAAACTACCTAGCGTCGAGCAATTCTTTAAAAGTCTTTGAAATGTTAACATGTCATTTGATTGTGTGTGCAGAGAAATAATATGTTTGTTTGTTTATTTTAATATTAAATAATGTGTATTTTCTGCTGTAAGGGCTGATTTATATATCAGTTATTCAATCAAGACCCCTCCAATAAGGGAAAAAAACGTAGTTTACTCTTTTACATTTAGTGCTTTACAGTTATATACAGTGATGGAAATATTGAAAATAATTCAATCTCTAATTTTAAGGTTGTTTAGTTAAAAGGAGAGACAGAACCAAACGATTAATCGGGAATCAATAGATTAACTAATGATTTACTAATGAATAGTAAATCTCTAATCACTGGTTGGTTACATTATTGTGTTGTTAATGCAGTGCTGTGAACATAAACCGACCTTGGAGACTGCCCTGACGTGCTGAGCTCTGATCGTCGCAGATTTCTCCTCAAACGCTTTGGCCTTCGCCTCTTCAGCCAGGCTGTTCAGGAACAGCAGTGTCAGCAGTTCGATCTGAACACACAGGAGCAAAAACCAGCTGTTATTTAGCGTCGCTCATCTACCGGTCAGCTGCGGACAAAGCGATAGCCTACCATCGCCTCTGACGCCGGCCTCACGTTTATGTTGCCCTTCGCCTTCGTTTTAATTGTACTTTTCAGTCTGGGCGCTTTGTTCAACATGACGATGAAGTTTCTCTGTGAAACAAAAAAGGAACACCCCACGAAAAACGTTTGTTTACGTTTTCTAATCTCCCGCTTTGTTGACTTCCGGTGTAGATTCTTCTTCGTGGTCTTATAAGCCGTTTGCCTCCTTGCTTGTTTCATCCGCGCCATCTAGATTTTGTACTCATTACTGCGCAAAGCAGTAAATGCTTTCTCACCTTGTATTAACATACCAAAACATAAATAAACAAATAGATAAATAAATAAAAATGCAGAAGATTTAAGGCAAACATGGCAAAATATTAGGGTTGAAACTTAGATAAAAGTAAAAGTAACATGCCCATGCAGGAAATCTTATAATTTGATGTTCACCTGTCACAATTTTTTTTTACCTCTACAAATTAGGTATCTTCTGTGTAAAAGCGCACAAATGTGGATACATTCTGAATAAAGAATCGATCAAGCAAGCAAGCAAACAAACAATTAAAAGATATCATAAGAAATGAATCACTTTTCCACCAATTTTGGGATACAAATCAGCCCTTACAGCATAAGTAGCACATTATTTAACAGTAAATAAACAAACAAACAAAAGATGGAAAGGGTAAAGAAAAACAAACTAAGTGATAGCACTTTGAAGGTTCATCAATGAATTTCCTTTTTTAAAATGTTCTGCATAGATGTGCAAATGACATTATATAATATCCATAAATCTGCATAAACTCCTAAAACACAAACTGCAGGATTTTAAAGACCTGAATGTGTATTTTGAGGACAGGAGGAGAGGCAGTGCAGATACAAGCGTCTCCTTCGACTCGGTATCTTTGCGTTGTGCATGCTGCCATCCAGCGGCTGCTTTGCGCTATTACATCAGCAAACTCAGTCTTTTTGTATCCGGGTCGGCGGATCATGATGGCGGCCACCGCGGACAAAACAGCCGGCATGAGTAAAATGCTGCAGTTTATGAAACTTATCGGACAACTGAAAGTGAGTTATTATAGAAAGAGAACAAAGACACCTCTATGTTGTTATTGTAGATGTGTACATGTGATATGTTCCTGCAGCTTCGTGTGTTTTTTGCTCCAAAACCTTTAGTGTACAGTATTTCCCCACAACGGAAAACCAGAAAAATCTATCACCACAAGCCAGAGATATATTATCTTTTAGGTCTGCTTATCTGCTTTACCTGCAAAAATACACAAACAAAAAAATTAAAACTATTCCTACTTGCACTCACAACGAGTTATCAAACACAGTGAAGTCAGTATCTGCACACAGAGTGTCCCCCAAAAAAACCCCGATGAACCAGTTATGAGACAGATATCTGCATGTGTGTCACTGATGGCTGATATTACTCGCAGAGGGTGCCGCGGACCGGCTGGGTGTACAGGAATGTGAAGAAGCCGGAGAGTGTGTCCGACCACATGTACCGCATGGCCATGATGTCTCTGACCATCACTGACCCCACAGTGGACAGGGACAGGTGGGTCCCATACACCTGAAAATCAGTTTTTACACCATTATCTAAAAGGAAAGCTGAAAAACATATAAATGTTCCTCTTTTTATGTGCTCCGGGTCTCTTCCTGTTAAAAGGGACTTCCTTTCCGACTTGCTCATAGGAGATCACAAGGAATTGCTCTTTCATATTGCAAGGTTTTTAGCTTGCAGTATAAAGGACCTTGACTGTTGTTGTGAACTCTTGTGTCTCCAGGTGCATAAAGCTGGCTCTGGTTCACGACATGGCAGAGTGCATTGTGGGAGACATCGCGCCATCAGATAACATCAGCAAAGCAGAGAAACACAGGAGAGAAGAGGCAAGCGACTTCATCATAAAGGAGGCAAATACTAAACTTGGCTGTAGTTGTAACTTCTCCTTGCCTTTCAGGAAGCGATGAAGCAACTAACGAGTCTTCTTCCGGAGGCTCTCAGACAGGAAATCTACACACTGTGGGAAGTACGTCTCTGCAAACATGGCATTTGTTGCTTCCTGGCCATGTGCTTTATAAGCGGGATGCTTTGTCCTTGTGCAGGAATATGAAACTCAGAGCAGCGCAGAGGCCCGGCTGGTGAAACAGTTTGACCAGCTGGAGATGATCCTGCAGGCGCACGAGTATGAGGAGCTGGAGGGAACACCAGGAAGACTGCAGGAGTTCTTTGACTCCACAGCCGGTACGTCTCCAGCACGTCTATCGTAGCATTTACCCATTTTTCTACTCGCTCTGATCTTGCTGGGCTGTCTTTAGGTCGTTTCCACCACCCGGACGTTCTCCAGCTGGTCAGCTCTATGAACAAAGAGCGAGAAAGTCACATGACCAACACAGATGGCACAAAGACGTCTGAGCCATCGCAGGCTGCTGATTCGGTGCCTGAAAAAGACCACACAACGTCACACTCTTCCTGACTGTAACACGCACACAGTGAACAGGACTTCTCAGGTAGACAGAGATGCTGGATTCAGACAAACAGTCTGTACAGGGACGCACAAGCTGTAATATTGTTTTTGTTTTTTTTGTCTAAATCACACCAGTTCATTGTTTTAGTCATTGTTTTATATGTTTTCAGTTTACACACATTATTGCGTATTTTAAACCAAGACAAAGTTAAAGCAAAGACTGAAGATTTGAAGTAGCAAATGACTTTTAAGGAACCGCTACGTTTACATATTATGTAGTAACGCCATTTCTTGATCTTGTATTTGTGACAGCTTGTGTTTTTCAGTTATTTGATATACATGTACATCTTTAGTGTTTGATACTTGAATGGGAATCAGGTATGAATCTAAAAAAGATGCACTCACACTTGGCTCCTGAAAGTAAACTTAGAGGCTTCAAAACCCAAGTTTGGCATCACATTTATAACTGTGGCGAGGGCTCTCATCTTAACTAATTTGGTGCTTTAAACTTTTCACCTGTGCTGGTGTGATTAGATCTGTGATTGGCTGAACAAATAAGGTGGTGGAGTAGGTCTGATATCAGTTATTGTCAAAGATTCCTTCAGAATGATCTCAGTCGTTCTGCATTTTTAAATTAGAGAGAAATTATCTGCAAACCTTCCACAGTCTCTGAGACTGACTGGCGGATGCGACTGTTTGCAGACAGCTTGCCTCCTAAAAGCTGACGTGTGCAATCATTGTGCAATCAAGCAGTTGCGTGTATGCAACACCTTCAAGCTTTGAGCAAGCATTTAATCACCTCAAGCTGCAGCTGGTTTAAGAAAATGAAAAAATCAATACCAGACACTGATTTCTTTATAGATGGAAGGAGGTTGTGGTCTTATTTTTATTCATGACTGAGCTCTTGGCTTGCTCTGAATTAGAAGGTAGCTTTGTCGAGCTAAGTGTGTCCAGTGATTTTCTTTTGAGCTGATTTAATATCAGTTTGCTCACCAAACGTTGTCTCGTTACGATTGTGCACAACAACACATGAATTGAGCTGTGGTTTGGGTAAGGCCTTGAAGGGGACTGGCGGCGGCTCCCGGGCCTGGCAGATCCTGGCAGAAGTGAAAGAATTGAAAAATGGCAGGTAGGATGGGGCATGAAAACAGCTTGCAGAACTGGGTGATCATATATAGATAAGAACAGGAAGTGGCGTGTTTAGAGACGTGGTCCTGCTCCTGAAATTCAGATACTTTAATGCAACAGTGTCGCTGCACCATTACATTGTAGTCCATAAATGATAGGTGTGTTTTAGAAACAATGCTGCAGATAAACGATTATTTTAGTATTCTGCAGGTATTAATGTTTGTTCTGTTTTCCTCATGCTTTTCCAGAGTGCTGTTGAAACTGTAGAGTGACATCAGGTTTGGTTCAAACAATCTTTATTATACATACTAAAGTCATAAAAACAGTTATTGATCATTCACATACAGTGTTATTGTACATGATGGTCACAGTTATGTCTTTTTGTGTTTATGCTGTAAAGACATTTATTACATAAAAGGTTTATTGAAATCAATTTTCCAAAGACAGAACAGAACGAGTTATTTTTAGTGAGTCTGTTTCTGTTTATGGATTTTATTGAATGTATTTCAAGGGCCAAGCATCTTCTCATGGGAGAGGACCAAAAACAAAAGTTTAACACATGAAAGAGAAAGTAAAAACTACAAAACACAAACGATTATTTACTGCAAATAATACAAAGACAAAGTAATGAGTTTGCCACACAGAGCAGATTTGAATAGTTGCAAAGATCATTCTCATCGTTTACGGCACCAACATTTTAGTTATAGTGACACTGAATTCAATTTTTCAGCGTTAAAATCTGAGCTCATGTAGTTTCACCACGTGCGTAACAGCATTCGCTGGATTAATGCGTCACATTTACAGCCAAGAATTGTGCTCCCGATGATACATCATGTCGCACTGATGCTTTTTCACATATACACCACTGCTTCCTGTAGTTGCTCTCACAGTTTGCATTTAGATATTCAAACAGACCCCAGCTGCAGCTGACTGCGCCTCCCCAACCCCATGTGTATATCAGTACACTGAGTATATATCGTGAAATGCCGACGACAAAATGTTTTTAGATGCCACAGTGAAACCCGAGGAGCTAGATCTTCTGTAGTAGTGTAAAATCCTTTATACAAATGTCACCCAGGATGTTCAGGTTGATCGGTCACATTTTTACAGCATTAAGTAATAAAATTACTTAATTTTTTAAATCACAAACATATTTCTAGTAAAGATGTGAAACAGCAGTTTTCTGCTGTCCTAATAAAGAAAGGTAGCTGTTTTAAAACTCTTATACTGATGCGGTGTTGAACATCTACTGACACTTTTTCCACTCGTCTTAAATTTACACATCTCACGGAGGAATCGGCCTTTTGCTTTGTGTCTGGGGAAACCCAGCTGTGATCTGACAGCTGAGTGAACTACATGAGCACAAATGTGCCAAATAGAAGAAGAAGAAAGTACCAGCTCGATATGCGGGGTTTAGGTTCAGTCTGTCTCCTGAAGTTGATGTGTAATCAGCTCAGACTCTTTTCATGTCGTGTTTCAGGTCATTTAAGGCCTATCTGCTAGCTGCTCCTCCCCAACCCCATCTCATCAACATCTGTGGTGTAACGTGGTTAGGAAACCTCTGGAGGACAGATGGCATTCATCAAATCCACTAAAAACCCTTCAACACTATAAATAGAAGGAAAACATTATAGGCTCCTTGCTCTCATTAGTCCCCGTATCATATGAGGTTTAGAGTTGATCTTTTAAAATAAAAGAAGACGACTGCAGCCTTAGGGGTCATTTTGGGTAAATGTAATTATTTAGGTTTTAAGACAATCTGTATTCTGCAAAAGCGCCTTGACACTAAGGATCAAAAGGTTTCAGTCAGAGCTTTGAGTTAAAGTGCTGCGACACATCGGCAGCGGAGTTCCCGTTTAAGCCCTGGCTCGTGGTCCGGGTGGAGCCTTAACACTGCCTCCCAGAGCTGTCCATCAAGTTGTTGGTGGGCGTGTCCTGTGAGCTGGCGTGCGCTGCGGATGACAGGACGTCCTCAAAGCTGCCCCCACTCCCGGTGCCGCCAACCTTTGTCTGGGACAAGAAACAAAGGCACAAAAGTGTCACTGAAGCTGTCGTTCTTGTTCTGTGGTGCTGCAGAGTCGACTCAAGGTGGCAGACTTTTACAAAGACTGAAGCTGTCGGGCATTTGCAGGGCGTGTACATGGAAACAGGAGTCATTTCACCAGCTTTTGTTCCAACTTTGCCGACCACCACAGCAGATTTCAAATCAAATAATCAACATGTGACTAAAGTACAGATATTCAACTTTGATTCAAAATGCCATTAACTGTTTAAGAATTTACATTTTCAGAGGCTCATAAAGTAACTGGACAAACTAACAAATTTATATAACCCGTGAACATCACCACATCCTGCATAACTTTGAGATGCTCTGGTGGGCCTTTACTGCTGTTTGTGGGTCTCTCTGACTTCAGTTTTGTGTTTCATGACTAAAAAGTTACTCTGCTGGGTTGAGATCAAAGAGCATCCAGTTTCTTTGCCTTTTTGATTGAGGTGTAACCAGTGGTTTGCACCTTATTGAAAACCTTCTTTATTTCCATTTATGAAGACATCTCTTTAATGTACACCTTGACAATAATACACCTGCTCTCCTCTTTGACAGTTGTTAAATGTTGTGAACTGGAGTCATGCACTTGAGTGGTTTCCTGTGGTGTTTCAGGCCTTTTGGTGTTACTGTCAGTGCATTCATTCTTTTTACGACTGCACTGGATGGTTGATTTGGCTACCCTTCACGTTTCTGCTCTTTCTTTGATGGATTTGAAGGTTTTTTGTTCTTTTTTTTTTTTTTTTAGCATGTAGACGGCCTCTCTAACTTGTACTGACATGTCTTAGGGCCTCATATCTAAAATTATAGTGAAAAACTATGAAATACAAATTCAACACTTTGAAACTTCAGCTATTGTGTCTGCTTTGTTTGTCATTAAATAAGGGAACACGAGTCACCTGATTACAGAACCGCTTGTCGGTGAATTTTCCAGTTACTTTTCAGCCACTGTTTGTAATTCATGAACCGTTAATGCAGCTGTTTTGTAAAGCCTCTTGAATTAAAGCTGAAAGTCTGCACTTCAATCACTGCTTTATTGATTGATTTAAAATCCTCTGTGATTGTGTACAGCGGAAAACATAGAAAAATTGTGTCTTAGGCCAAGAAATCATGTACCAAACTGATCATTTACATCACATTTAAAGCATCCATACATGAATGAGTGAAAATGTGCTTTCAGTCAATTTGAAAACCAAAACTCTTAATGTAAACCTCTCTGGTGATCTAGTCGGGTAAAAACAGGGTCAGATTCACAGCTTACTAACCCATGAATGTTGCTTCCTAGTACACTCCTCTGGACTCTTAGGACTTGTTTTGGTATCACTATAAATGTCAGTAATCAGTGGGTTCCCTGTCAGAGTGTAGGCTCATAATTACACACTAATTATAGTACTTTGTTTTATGCGTCAGTACTTAGAAGCTGCAACCTGACCAGCTTCTTTATGTGCAGCGTTCACATGAAATAGTTTTTAGTTTATCTTGAAAAACATTCAAAAAGTGCCCCTAAATGCCTCGGATTAAGTGAGACTACTTTTAAGGCAAACACACTCTGTTTGAGGCTTTTCACATGTTATCACTTTATAATGCTAAATCTCTCTCTCACACACACATGGTTACCTTGATAGTGGAAACTGTGTTCTCAACTTTCTCTTCAAAAGACCTGAAGCTGGGAGAGTTTCTGTGAAAAAGGGAGGGAAAGATTATTAAAAAATAAACCACATTTTGCTGTCTTATCACATGAGCACACAATTATTTGTGAAATCCTCTTCTGAAATAGAAGAAGCTACTTTTGGCAGCGCCCTTATTCAAAAAGGGGTCATGTTTGATTTGTAAAATATTCTGAAATAACACAATGGGGGTTTTTTTGGTACTGCAACACAAAAAAGTCAAAATGACCTGAAGAAGTGAGCATGTGGGAAAAAAACACACCAGGTATTTTTCCGGGTGTGTCAGGGTCAGAGTGCCTTTAACTAAATACAAAGCAGTGCAAGCGTTGCATTAACTCCTAAAGACTGCACAGGATTTTTTTGTGTTAATACACAAAAACTTCAAATTTTAAATGATCATCTCACATATAAACATCTCTCTCTCTCTCTCACTCACACACACACAAAGACATGCACAAAAGCACAGAGTGGTTACCTCATAGCGGGCATGCTCATAGAGTGTTTGATAGAGTAACTGTCCCCGGAGAGCGTGGTGAGAGAAGAGTTAATGATTAACACAGGTTACACGCACTCACCAAACCAGAAACGAAGCCAAGAGTCAGAGCAGTGCTTAGCTGTTCTGTCCTGATGCTGTGCATGTGCAGAGTGTGACAGAGGATTACGTACAGGAAAGCAGTTACATGTCAAAAGATATGCAAGCAAGGAATTAGCAGCAGCCACTCCAGAGTTTCTCGTGTATTTTCATTAATCTCTCTTCAATAGATTTATTAAATAAAGCTATTAATTTAAAACTGAAAAATCCAATGTGGTCCTAAATTTGTTTTTTATTAGCTTAGCTTTAGCACTCTCTGCACAGGGAAGTGCAGCCACTCATGTGACTCAGGAAGACAGTTTCTCTCCCCGAAAACAAAACTGATGTGATTCTGGGCTTAGACCAGAACCTGACTGAGTCCATACTGTGCTGTCCAGTTAGTGCTATCAGCTGATCTGACTGAGATCTACTCACTGCAACAGACTCCTTACTTTGATAAAATCTACTGTGTGGCTCCTTACCCTATGGAGTTGGATCTTAGGAAGCATGAAAAAAGACGGAAAAACATTTTAGGATACTTGGACAAGCCGATGTCAGCATTACAGTCACACTCTGTCAAATTCACTTTACCAAACATTAATATCAATACAAAACTATTTAACTACAAAAGGCAAACTACCACTACTACACTTGTTTTAGGTAACACAAGTAACCAACTCTTTGAAACTTGACTCTTAAAACATGTGTAAACAATCTGTGTTAGAAGAAGAAAACAGAAGAAGAACAAGGGAAACAGTGTCACAGTGACTGGAAACCCAGCTGTGGAACTCGGTTGACAAACAACAGTGTAAATCATCGTTGTAACTGTGTTACAGACTGACTTGATTTGACAGTTTGTTTTCTATTAATCTACCTGTAACGTGATTTTCTGTAGGTTGTGGGTTGCTTTTCTTGGCGTCATTGGTCAGTGTTAATTGCACAGCATTAACACATGTTATACCAGACAGGCAGCTCCTATTCATATTTGCATGAACATTTTGTGGCACATCCAGTATTTATAGTTCATTTCTAAATGTTGCAAGTTAAACCTTTCAACATTTTTTTTGTTGATCATAAAATAAC